CCATGGCTCTTAGTGAGTTTTTGTGAGACAAAATACTTTGCAAAGCAATGAAATTAGTGGCAAACCGAGTTGGAGCAGGACGAAGGATTTCTCTTCCACCTGTTTGCTTTCTCATTAAATACAATGCATAACAATGGTTATAAATATATTTGGTAACATTAGAAGCATGTGACACTGTCTCACTTACTTCCTCTTATTTTCCCATGTCTTACAACATCAAGTTAATGCAATGTGCCGCACAAGGAGATCAAAATAAAGTAGGAAACTCATTTTCTAATAACCTTCCAGCAGCAACATAATTTGTAGCATTATCTGTCACTATGTGAACTACATTTTCAGGCCCAACAAATAAAACCACCTCTCTAAAAAGCTTATACAACATATCTACAGTTTTTGAAGCATGAGAAGCATCAACGAATTTTAGAAAAATAGTACCTTTGGGACAATAAACTAGAAAGTTTATAAGAGTTCTTCTTTTTCGATCAGTCCATCCATCGACCATTAGAGTACAACCAGTTTTCTTCCAAATCTCACGATACTCCTCTATCAATTTGTTCACATCTTCAACCCATTTATTTAACAAATAGCCACGAAGACTATGCATAGTTGGAACTTTATACCACGGACTCATGCTGTAAAGTGCATCAGCCATAGATTAAAAATATGCAGAATTAGCTGTATTGAATGGTACAGAAGAATCAATGAACCATCTTGCAATAGCTAGATCACACTTCTCCACCAATTCCTTACTTTGTAACACACTTTTTAAAGAAGGTTGAGCTCCAGGAGTTGTTCTAGGCATAAAATAATTACCAATACGACTAGTATTCTTTCTCTTTTGAGACACAATCACCGAATTTGATCTTGATTGTTCTACATCTATTTCTACTACACCACCCTCTTGAGTAGTAAGATCAACATCAAAATTTTGTGCTTGAGTCTTTCTTCTCTTATTTGCACCTTCATCAAGATTTTATTTCATTTGATATTGAACATCTGGAGGCACCTTTTTACATTTGTCAAATTAACCTTTTATTCCAGTCAAATGGAATTTGAACCTATTAATCCCCCCTCCTCTAATAATTTTATCACAGTAAATACACAAATTAACAAGTTTTCCTTTCTCTTCAATTTGTTTACAATGACCCCAAGCTATATCAGTTTTCCCCCTACTGCTCTGGAGTTGGGTTGGATTTTGAGATGTAACTTCTTCCGAAGTTATTACTTCAGCGGGTGATGTCATATCTAATATCAATCAAAATTTAAAAATACAAAACTATATTACTAAAATATTAACAAAACACAATTCTAAACAAAAATTATTAAATTTATAAAAACATTATAAGAAACATTAAATATGTAGCATATCTAAATCCAAAATATATGAATATGTTGTTGTATATTACATATAGGCTACCAAGCATCGTTACTGTGTATCACCATATATATAATAAAAAAATAGAAATTATGTTTTCCAACCTTTGCTATATATTTTAGATTAATAAAATCCTGAAACTTTTCTTTGTTATATAATTTAAATTAATAAAAAACAGAAAACTTTGTCTTACTATATAATTTAGATTACATAGTTTTAAACCCAATTTCTATCTCCATAATATATACAACGACTATTACAGTAATATATATCTATCTCAATTTCTATCTCTAATATACAACAACTTCATTATCAGTTTATAATAAGTTAATTCATAAAAGTATAAAACTGGTTTATTCATACAAATTCTATCTCAATTTGTTAAACTAAAAGACCAAATTTTATAGAAAATGATCAAATTTAATCATTTATTTTCTATATCAATTAATCAACAAAATGAAACAATAATATTCATATTGGAAAATATCAATGCAAATTAGACCAAGTAAAAAAGAAATAATTTGTTTTTGATGTTTTGATGAAATTTTTTACGGCAAACAAGGAATATCAAATAACAACAGCAAGTGGGAGTTTTTGTTGGTAAAGAAAATTGAGAATATGACTTCAATTAGAAAAAGAAAAGACAGAATAAAAAAGAAAACATTTCAAATGCCTAGGTTTGGGAAACGAGGAGGCAAAGCGTTTATGTTAATTTTTTTTCAAAAGTCCTAAAAAATAAAATAAATAGTCAAACCCGCCAGTTCAGTAAAAACCGCCGGTTCACTGGTTTAACCGGTGATCCGTCTGGTTCACACCGGTTTCATCCGGTCTAAATATAATTCTGGTCTTATCCCTTAATCGGACCGCCTGACCTACTGGTTCTCGGTCAGACCGGTCCGACCGGCCGGGTCGGACTGGGTTTTAAAACACTGGAAATTAGTGATGAAGTAATGAGTTAGAGTAATTAATATTAAATATTAATTAATATATTAAATAACATTTATTGGAAAGAGAAAAAATAATAATGTAATTAAAAACTGTTTAGGCAGGATTTTGATCAAAATTTGGCACTTAAGTATTCTATTTTAATATATTAAAGATTATTAAATTTAAGAATTATGTTCTTTGTATATTCTCTATTGGAGGTCATGGATTCGAATTTTGAGAAAGATAAAAAAAAAATATTTTTAACAAAAAATATCTAACAAGACAAACACTATTCCAACTATTTATATTCTCTTAAATTTCAAATTTAAAATAGACATGGGAATATAAATACCAAAATCAAAATTATGTTTAAAAATTTCATTTTTATTAAAAATAATCTAACAAGACCGTCGTTATTCTAACTATCTATATTTCCCTTAAAATAAACATGGAAAAACTAAAATTAAAATTATGTTTAAAAATCTCATTTTTAACAAAAATGGTCAAATTTCAAACTATTCTCTCTTATTCATTATTAAATTTCATACCATAAACTTATATTATTAACTATAATTATTAAATTTAAGAATTGTATTCTTTGTATAATATCATTTCATATATAATATTTTTACATGTACGTTCTTAAATCATTTCAATAATTCTCATGTTTATTTTTATTGGATTATATATAATTAGGAGTGGGAATAGGTCAGACCGATCTACAGGGGCCTATAGCCTAACTTATTTGAGGTTAGGCTAGACCAGACTTATTTATTAAAAATGTCAGACTTAGATTTTTTTATAAAGCCTATTTAATTAAATATGTCAGACTTAGACTATTAAAAAAATTTATGAAACTTTATAGGGCGACATATATATATATATATATATATATATATATATATATATATATATATATATATATATATATATATATATATATATATATATATATATATATATATATATATATATATATATATATATATATATATATATATATATATTAGAAGAAAAAAATGTTAAATAGATTGGCCTATTATACATATATAGGATGACGTATAAGAGTTCTTAAATAATATGAATTTATTGAAAACTTTAATGAGAAACAAGTTTTTAAATATATTTTTAGGCCATGTCAGACTTTTAAAAATGTCAGGTCAAACCAAAAAAATGAATCTATAATAAGTCATAGGTCAGACTCAGATCTTGTAAGTTTATCGTAGACCAGACTCAAACGTTATAGAACCTTACTTAATCAAACATATTTTCACCGTTATGTATAATTCTTTTATCATCTTAACAACATTACATAAATTTATATAAAAAAAATTAAATGTATTTGATAATATACAAATAAAAAACGAAAAGAATTTATTTTTCAAAAATTTAACATGTTAATTTTACTTGATTATTCTGAATCTATAATCTAAAATAAAATATTATAAATATAAATTAATTAATTATATTTATTAAAATAAAATATATTAACTACAATTAAAATTTTAATATAAAAAATAAATCAATTTATATTCGTATATTGCACGGATCCTAATCTAATTTTTCTATCTATCTCTAAAAATATAAATTACATGAGCACCTAGTGACATTTGACTAGCTTTCTTGAATGCCATAAAAACACACATTAACTAGGAATGCGACACACAACAGGTTTTGCAAGCACATGTCAACAAGACCAAACCATTTTCCAAAGTTAGATCAAGTGACTAATGACTCAAATCCAATTTTCTCTTAACCATAAAAGAATACAAAACTAACACACTTGATAGTGAATAATACTAATCAATTAACTCACTCTAACCTCTCATTATTAAACAAATCAACATCTTCCTTTTAGCCTTACCTACATGTCTCCACGTGAAATATTCAGAAAAAAACTTCCTATTAGATTTAGCATATTCAATTAGGTGAATCTAAAAACACTTATCAATCATAACATTAAATTCACCAATTTATTACATGTCTAGTTTTCCCTATGCTGAATTTGTCCCCACCTAAGGTTGGAGAAATCTTATAGAATCACCGTATGTCGTTACAACAGTCCAACAAAATAGGACCCCACATCACAATCATCTCTCTTTTTAACTAGGAAAAATAAAAATATTTACTCCCTCTACTTCATTGTCATTTTAACCAATAAAGTATTAAAATTTGTTTTAAATTGTCATTCTCACTTTATAATAATAATAATTATTATTTTTTTATATAAAAAATTTAAATGATAAAAATTTTAAAAGAGAGGAATACATTCATGTCTGAAATCTCATATATTAATCTTTTGAATCATTATTTTCATGATGATGAAATTAATACTAAAAAGTTGATTGGAAGTGACAAAACATGATAAAAAAAAGCACACAAGACAAAAGAATTAAGTCAAAGTGTAAGGAAGGAAAGTGTTTCCAAAAGAATGCATTAACAGTGTTTCTTATTGTATGGTAGATTGAATTAATGTAAGAAGAGATAAGAGTAATGAAGGACTTGTACAACTTCAACTGCCAAAGGTTCAGGGGTTCCTTGCTTTGCTTGGAGTAGCATTAAAGACAATGTTTCAGATCTTATTTTTTTCTTTCTTACCAGCACAAACCAAATGAGAAACAAAAAGGAAACTAGCTTTTATAAGAGGAAAGTTGCATTTTGCATTCATGTCTTTGTAACTTTTAGTTGAAAAATAAAAATGAGTTTTGGTTTTGAGTTTCTTACTATGATGTTGTTCATCATCATTATGACAGTGTTATTGATTCCTTTATCTATATCATCACTATCATCACAAAGTACTAACATTTTGAGTGTTGGAAGCTTCCATGTTGATAGTTTACAAGATAGTTATTTCATGAGGGAGAAAAATGAAGAGGTGGTGAAAGTTGAGAAAATCTCAGGTTTAGATGAGAATGAAGAGAAACATGGTTTTATAGTTGAAAAGTTTAGATCTTTACTTGGTTTAAAGAGTTTTCACAAAAGGGTATATTCTAAATCCAATGGTGAAGAAGCTACATCACCTTCTCTAGCACCAGCACCGGCTCCGGCGCTGGCGCCTGAAGGATTGCATTTGCATTCTCGTTCTCATTCTCATCATCCAAAACATCATTTTCATTGGAAGCAGATACCAAAGAAGGTTCATCATGAAGATGATAGAGGCAGAAGAGATACAAGAATACTAGTAGCCGTTTTTGTTTCTGTTGGAGTTGCTTCGTTGGTTGGTGCTTTTGGTTTGATGCTATTTTGCAGGAAAAAGTTCACAAATCACAAAAAGAAGAAACCAAAGAGAACAATGCCTCTTTGTAGCAGCAATAGCAAAGGAAGAACAAAAGGTACTAGTTATCAAAATTCTTCAGGACTAGATCTGTTTTATCTTGATGCATTAGGTGAAGATATTGAGCAACAAAATGCTTGTGGCTTGAAAAAGACTAGTGAGGAAATTGTTTCTGTTCATGAAGAGGTGGAAATGGTTGTTGATGGCAAAAATTTATCTGATAAAATTGTTCATGAAGATTGTGGTTCATCAGAGGATGAAAGTTTTCATTCTTTGGTTGATTCACAATCTAATTTGAGACTCTCTAATGCTTCTGCTTCTAGTCTTGGTGACACAAACTCTTTGGTGTCACCTCAAAATTCATTTTCTTTGTTACCAAACCAAGTACCTAGTTCTCCACAAAACTCAACCTCAAACACACATGAAGAGATTGAAACCTTTGTTCAATGTCCAAAAACATACACTTCCTCTCCTGCTCCTCCTCCTCCGCCGCCACCGCCGACACCGCCTTTGAAAATGCCACTCTTTTCTTTACATTCACTAACATCTTCATCTAGAGTTTCATCTCATACTTTGTCTTCTCCTATAAATTCAGAAACTTCTTCAAGATCAAACCAAAGTCTTGGAAAGGATTCATTTTCTCTATCTCCACCTAACCTCACAAAATCTCCTCCTCCACCACCATGTCCTCCTCAATTTCCAAAAGGAAATAGCAACAACAAGGCCAAAACACCTCCTCCTCCACCATATGAATTCCCTCCATCACCACTTGGTAAAGATGGTACACCATTGGCTAAACTCAAACCTCTTCATTGGGATAAAGTAAGAGCTGCACCAAACCGCACAATGGTTTGGGACAAACTAAGATCAAGCTCATTTGAGTAAGTTCAACTTCATGAATACCTATGTTTGAATTTGCAGTATGTTTGACTGAATCACGTTAACACTGAAGGATATCGTGATTCTGTCAAACTTACTGATATTTCAGACATCTATCAAGTAACTTTAGAATTGTTCGTTTATTTTATTCAATTTTTACTGTTTAATCATATCATGAATTTTGATCAGATTTGATGAGGAAATGATTGAGTCACTTTTTGGATACAATTTGCAAAATTCAATGAAAAATGATGAAAGTAAGAGTAAAACACCATCTCCAAGCAAGCATGTACTAGATCCAAAGAGGTTGCAGAACATAACAATACTCTCAAAAGCTCTTAATGCAACAGCTGAACACGTATGTGATGCACTAATGCAAGGTAAATCTCATCAATTATCAACACTTGTCACACTTTATTCTGACTCAACACTTGTCACACATGAAAACCATAATGTAGCAATAATGTTAACGTTATAAAGTAAAGTGGAACAATGACTATAGAAGGATGTGGTTTTACACCATATTTTGAGGAGAATTTATGGTCAAATTAACGTTTTCAAAGATGTAATTAGGTTGTTTTGAAAAGCAGGGAAAGGATTGTGTTTGCAACAACTTGAGGCACTAGTGAAAATGGTACCTACCAAAGAAGAAGAGTCAAAGCTCTTCAATTATAAAGGTGACATCAATGAATTGGGGTCCGCCGAAAAGTTTGTGAGAGCAGTGCTTTGTGTCCCATTTGCCTTTCAACGAGTAGAAACTATGCTTTACAAAGAGACTTTTGATGATGAAGTTGTTCACCTAAGAAATTCTTTTTCAATGCTAGAGGTAATCATATAGACATTAGTTTATCTAACACCAAACTTTCAAATTGAAAATGTGTTCGGTATCTGATAGTTATCAATATCATTACTATATAATATATATGCTGATATCAGATACGGATAGTTATCAATATCATTACTATATAATATATATTGATATCGAACACTGTATATGTGACCGCTATCAGTATCATTACTATATAATATATGTTGGTATCGGACACTAAGACACGTGTGTGGTGACATCATACATGTCTTCAATTTGAAATGTCGTGTAAACGTTTTCATACAAAATTTGTGTTAATGTCCTATACAAGGAGGCATGCAAGGAGTTAAGATCAAGCAGACTGTTCTTGAAACTTCTAGAAGCAGTACTAAAAACAGGAAACCGAATGAACGTAGGAACGATAAGGGGAGGTGCGAGAGCATTCAAACTGGACGCTCTACTAAAGCTAGCAGATGTCAAAGGAACAGATGGAAAAACCACCTTACTCCACTTTGTTGTTCAAGAGATTGTTCGGTCAGAGGGAATACGCGTTTCAGAGAGCATAATGGGAAAAATAAGCCAAAAAAGCAACAAAAACAGAACAGAAGAAGAGAAAGAAGAAGACTACAGAAAAATGGGACTAGAACTAGTGTCTGGTCTCAGCACAGAATTATACAACGTTAAAAAGACAGCGACAATCGACTTAGATGTTCTCGCTAGTTCGGTTTCAAATCTATACGACGGAATGGTTAGGCTGAAACAGTTGGTGGAAAACGAGTTGCATGAGGATGAAATGAGTCATAATTTTGTGGTGACTATGAAGGTGTTCTTGCAATACGTGGATGGAAATTTGAAGGAGTTGAGAGGTGAAGAAGATGGAGTGATAGCACTTGTTAAAGAAATAACAGAATATTTTCATGGTGATGTTAGTAAAGAGGATAATCCACTTAGGATATTTGTGATTGTGAGAGATTTTATGGGAATGTTGGATAATGTTTGTAAAGAGCTTAGAAAGTCTAAAGGTTCACGTACTCCAAATCCTCTTGCACCTTTCAGATAGATTACAATTTGACTTTACTTACACTTTTATCTATGTGTGTGTTCATAGCAATTTTTCAAATTTTCAAACAACTTGAGTGTAATTTTATTGTATGGACTTTTGGTATATGTGGACTTTTTATTTCTCTTGATTTTCTATTTTATAGTGCTACTACAAGTTGTAGCAATGGAATGGTCTTAACATTTTTAAAGTCTTATTCTAACTTGTTCCTATTTCTTTTCCATACCCTTTGTATTTGGAAAAAAGAACTACACAATGTTTACAAGTAGTTTGAGTCATGAGGGTAGCTCACATCATGGAAATTATTACATTGAGATAATTGCAATATATTTTTGGTAATATTTTAAAATTATAATTTATAATATGAAAATTAACCTATTTAAATAAAGATAAATCTAAATTTAATTGTCTTAGTTATTTATTGACTCTCGTGCTAATAAACTAAAATAATTATAAATGTTACTATTTAAAATTTAATATTCACATTTTCTTTCAAACTGAATATCAACCATTTGAAGTTTATAAGGAAGTTGATTTAATCCTTATGTTAGTAAATTAATTGTCAATACTTATGTCATCTAGGTGGTAGATATTAGTCCACTATCTAAAGTTTTTTTAATGAAAAGACAGTCAATTTTAATATGTTTTGACTTATTATATTGAACAAAATTATGTCTAATATTGATGGTTGTTTTATTGTCACAAAATAATTTTATAGTACTTTCACACTGTATTTTTCATATTTTCAACACATCTTTCATCTATAATAGTTCACTAATTCCTAATTTCATAATCCTGAATTTTGCTTCACATATTGATCGAACAACTATATTTTACTTCTTACTTCTCTAATTTGAAGGAAAATGATGATTAAAATTAGGGGTGACAAAACGGACACGGTCCGTCGGACTTATCTATTTTATCTTCACTTTTTTACAGGTGGGATGGGTTAAGGTTTTAAACCCCCACCCTCTAATATCCCCGTTCCATTTTTGCAAGCTTTTGCGAGCGCGAGCATCAATATGAAAATTTGTAATTTTGAGTTTAAAAGGTATCAAGTCCGCGGGTCCGCCCTACCCCACACTCACTTTTTTGCAGGGCAGGTCAAAGTTTTAGGCCCACACCCTTAACAAAGTCTGTCCCACCCCGCCCATTTTTTTGGACTTTGTGGGGTGAGCCTAAACAGGGCGAACATGCTCGTTTACCACCCCTAATTAAAATACTTAACAGAAAACACAAATTTCTCTTAAGTTGATCTTTATGAATGAACATGATCAGTGATAGAATGGTTACTTCTTGTGGTGATTAATTGTCGATGTCGAATCTAGAACATTCATGAGCATTGAACAAACAACAACACCTTCACTTAGTCCACACGAACAAGGTATCTTCAGTCTCAATGCTAGTTGTTCACACACACACACACACACACACACACACACACACACACACACACACACACACACACACACACACACACACATACACACACACACACACACATACACACACAGAGAGAGAGAGAGATGTGATAATCGTTATATCAGTATAATAGTCTCAACGCCTTAATGTTCTCCCACTTTACAATAAATCTTAACTCATATACTTTAAGAATAATGTCTTTATATTTAATGGGGTCTCACGATTAAGTCACACCTAATATTTAATCAAATACGTTAGTTATTCTAAAGGCTTTAATACTTTGGAAAAACAAACAAAATAAAGAAATGCACTATTATTAATTGATAATTTGATACAAGTACCCATTTATAATAAAACTATTGGCCTCTATGGATTATACCAACAATCCTCCACTAGCACTAGAATTAGTCAAGCATAAACCTAATACTCATAGATCTATTATGATCGTTAAGCTTCTACAACTCAAAAGACTTTATCATTGGGTCAGTGACATTGTCAAGTGTTGGTACTCTACATGTCTTCACGTCTTATATATATATATATATATAATCTTTTGAATGAGATGATAGATCTTAAGTATGTGTTTGGATCATTGATGATATCTAGGCTCCTTGGCTTGAGCGATGACACCATCATTCTCACAAAAGAGTTCAATGAAATCCACAATTCTAGGGATCATGCCAAGTTCATTAATGAACTTCTTAATTCAAAAAACTTCCTTTGATTCATTTGCGATAGCATTATACTTTATCTCAATTGTAGAATCAACAAATGTATTATAATTTGAACATTTAAAGCTTGCGGTGCCACCATTTAAGCAAAACACATAACCAATTTATAGTCTAAAGTCATATTTATCTGTATGGAAGATAGCATCGGCGTGTCCTATTACAACGAGCTTTTCATGCCTCCATATATGTCAAGAATGAGTCATTAGTCCTTCTCAAATACTTAAGAATATTCTTGACAATAATGCGGTGAGCATCATCTAGATTAGACTAGTACCTACTTCTTGCACTTAAATCATATGAGACATCTGGTTGAGCATATAACATGGCATACATGATAGATCTTATTGAATATGTATATGTAATCTTATTCATGTTATCTTTTTATTTCTTAATTGAATGATATTTTTTTATAGACGTAAGTCATGTTTCATATGTATGAATCCTTTCTTGGAATCATGCATATTAAAGTGTCTCAACATTTTGTGTATGTATCTGATTTAGGCCAAGCAGTTTTTAGGATCTATCTTTATAGATCTGGATTCCTAATATTTAGAATGCTTCACCCAAGTACTTCATAGAAAAGAATTTCCCTAGCCATGTTTTCACTTCCTATAAGGTTCATATTCATTTTTAATGGATCCATATTGTTTTACAGATTCATCAAAATGAAGATTCCAACTTCTAGAAGTTTGCTTCAATCCATAAATTGATCGTTGTAACTTGCATATCTTTTTGGATTCTTTTGGAATGTTAAATATTCCAGGTTGTGTCATGTACACATCCTCATGGATATTCTCGTTAAGGAAAACAATCTTGATATCCAGCTCCATATTTCATAATCAGAGTACTACAACTAGATATCGCAATTCACCACCAAATGGATACCCGCAAAAAATACCCACTATGGATAAGGTAAAAATCGCTAGATTGGTATGGGGTTAGGCATGGGTAAATACCTCAAAAAATAATGGGTATGGATACTATAATACCTAACCAGCCCCATATCCTCACACACGTATTATTTACACATACACACACACGCACACATAACACACACACACATATACACACACGTTATCTTTGAGAACAATTGTATACTCTAATGGTTTATGTCTAGAGTGTGGCTTTTTTTATACAGGTTCTGACTCTGGTAAGGAGATGTATGACGTCATCAGGTTCTGAACTCAACAATATGGAAAAATATCTTTGGTGTGTTACAAGATAATTCAATATTAAGGAATATGTCTTATGTAACGATTCTAAGGAACTTTAGTAAAAGAGCTTCTGATTGTGACTTATTCAAGGAAGCTTTAGAGGTCTTCTAAAGCTTTACTTCTATTGTTCCAAGTTCTGAAGATGCTGAAGACAAGGTTCTGCTAAACGAGTTCTGAAGATTTGAAGACATTCTTCTGAAGACTAAGTGTTAAATACTGAGAAGGCAAGAGTTCTCTGAATAAGCCCTTTACGGTTCTAATGACTTAGGTTCTGAAGATACATAGTTTTGATCCTTATGCAACATGCTTCATCAACAAATATATCAGAAGCCTCTGAATACATAAAAGACAAAGATCAAGACTAAGGGATTACGTGTGATGGTGAGTATAAAAGTACAAAAGTACATTGTGACCTCTACTCTCTAGAGTGGCGCAAGGACATACCTTTTTATACTATTGTTTACAAGTCTCACCATGATCAGTGGGAATAATATAGCTATATTTGTGTTTCCTATTCTAGCCTCCAATAGATCTCTTATTTTCAACTATAAAAGAAGTACTTGGAAGAATTTGAAATCACCTAATCAGTTTAAGAAAACTACACTAAACCGTTGCACAAAAACTCTGTAGAGAAATCTTTTGTATAGTTTTGTAAATAAGCAAGAAGATGTTGTTTGTATCTTTCTATCAACACTTTTATGTTATTGTACTTAAACTCTGTGTAATCTGCTTATGTAAGAAGCATCTCTGTATACACATAGGTCATACCCCAAATTTTCCCTACTAACATTAGTGGATAATTTATAACTAGTCGCCTTTCCATTAGTGTTGTTGTTATTCTTTCTAAAGTTCTTAGCCCTAAGTTCTTAAGAAAAGAGGGGTGTATTATAAGGAGAAGGAGTGTGTGGGCTTTACAAATTCTTAATCAATTCTATGGCCCAATAAGAGGGTTTGGAGCCTGTTTTAACTAAGTTAACATTTGGTTGGTACCATTATTTTTATTTTGTTATTAAACATTTTTACTAACTAATTAGTATTACTATAACTATTTATATAGTTATTATTATCAATATTACTGCTGTATGGTTAACAAAATTATTGTGTTAAAATTATTTTATCATATTATTAAACTAAAGTCAATATCTGACTTTGAGTCTATTATTAATTATTATTATTATTTTATAATTATTATTATCAATTATTATTTATATTCTTAACCGTTTTGATTTAAACTTTATTAAGAGTTTGTATGCTTTATTTTTGAAGTCAGACTGAGAGATAAAGAGGCTTTTGTTTCCGCATGGCCCAACCAAACGTTACGGGCCCAAATTGGAGAAAAACACATTGCAAGCCCAAAATAAAAATGAGTGGCCCAAAAACATGTAAACATTCACTGTATCAATCAATTGAAAAAAATACATGCTTTAAGTGTTTCAAGCATTTACTGTACGAATTAGAGGAGAATAATGTATGTTTTGCAATGAAATCAAATCAAATCTCTTATTCAAACTCTTTCCAAAACAGAAACGAATATTTCATAGACATCAATACAAAATCGGATTGATATCAGACATAAATTAAAACCTTATTACAGATCCAAACAAAAACAGAAACAATTTAAACTGTATAATTA